GGAGGAGGAGGAGGAGGAGGAGGAGGAGGGCAGGCTGCCCACAGGCACCGAGCATCATGACGGTAGGGCACCATGCGCTGTGCCCTGTGTTCACTTGGGGACCTATGCTATGGTTTGTTATTCATCTGGCCACTTCACATCACTAAGGCCCATGCCAACTTTTGCCTTTCCTCATAACAGGAGCCACAGATTCCCTGTTTGGGGGAGCCGTTGATGCCCTGTGGCAGAGGCTCTGGTTCTCACAGCTGAGTCTTTGTACTTCCTATCTCCCCATAGTCCTCTTTCCCTATCCTAGAAACTTAACTGCCCACACTGTGGCCCTCTCAAGACTGGACTGTGGAAGACTCTGTGCAGGGCAGTGGGTACCAGAAGGCAAGTCCCTTGCAGGCTCTAGAGAGAGAAGAAATTTGCTAGACACAAAGGATGTCCCACCCTGGCCTCTCATTTGACCTGTGTTGGGACTCTTCTGCCATAGTACTCCCCCAGACACCCAGTCCTGAGTTCTACTCCTCGCTGGACTGCCCCACAGAGCCTGTTTGCTGTAAGTGTTCAAGTGGGAACTGATCCAAGCCATTAGGATCACCTTCCCAGGTATGTTCAGAGTGGCCAGCAGGCAGACTGCCTGTGTCGTGGATGCTGTGGGCTGTTTCATTACTGTCCACTTCATTCAAGAAGCAGGCCACTGGCAGGAATGGGAAAGCTGGCTATCGTCCCAAGGGGCTCCAGGTACCTGCACATTACGGTTGAGGCTGAGGGCAGGCATGAAGACCCCATCCACGTGACTGAAGGCTGTGGGGCCCTGCTGCTGCCCATTGATGAAAAAGGTCAATGTGTGCTTGTTCAGATCCAGCAGCACACCCACAGTGGCCCCCTTGCACACACCACCTTCCGTCCTGGGAAGAGAAGCCCAGGTAAAGCTGTCAGCACACCCAGCCCAGGATGTGACAGTAACTCAGAATAATTCAAAGGTTAATAGGAACACCCTCACCCAAATCAGACCTGAGGGCCCGTGAGCCTTCTCTTGCAAAGTTATACCCAAGAACAGCTGGAAGAGAAGGCAGCCCTGAAGGATCCAGGCAGCCCAGGACTTTCTTATCCAGTGTCTGAGACCAGGGAATTGGAGTATGGATGGCTCGCTCCTGAAACCACAGGGGGCTGAGCGTGGGCATGAAAGAGAACTAATGTGATCCTCTTTCTGGTTTTAGTCCTGTAATGATGTTGAGCTGGAGGAGATGCAGACACCAAGGACTTGAGACATTTTGAAATGGTCTGCCCCCTTCAGCTCACCTCTCTAGAACCGTCCCAGGGGACCAACAGCACGTGTTGGGAGAGGGATGCAGAACTGAAAATCAAGAGCCCTCAGTCACCACCTCGACCATGCTAGTTTTGGAATGCTTGAAAAAATGTCAGGAATAGGGGCTGGAGAGATGGCTCAGTGGTTAATAGCACTGGCTGCTCTTGCAGAGGACCTGCATTTGGTTCCTAGCATGCACATGACAGCTAACAACCACCTGTAACTCCAGTTCCAGGGGATCTGATGCTCTCTTATGACGTCCTCGGGCATTGTATGACATGTGTGCACTTACATATATGCAGGCAATTCACTCATACACATAAAATAAAAATAATAAGTAAAAAAAGAAAAATGTCAAGAATGGGGTGTTTCTGGGGTGGTGAGAAAACCTGTATCCTTGGGGTGGGGATGAATTTTAAGTGGGCCTTGGGTGATCCTGCCTTGACCCCCAATGCCCAACTAGCAGACTTCCTCTTCCATTAGCCAAGGACTCCCTTAGCATCAACCTCACTCAGCCCTGGGAGGGAACTCAGTTCTTTTTGCTTAGGACTGATCCAGGGGCAGAGAGTGAGCAGTGAGAAGAGCTCCTGACAAGAAATCTCCAGAAGGACCTGGTGGGCTGACCTGGACAGTGTTCTAGGTGTTCTAGAAGTGTCTTAGAGCAGGAGGTTCCAACTGGACGAAACTACAACCGAGTTTTATGCGATTCTAACACTGACCACCAGGTGGCAGAAGTGACCAGTTTGAAGTGTAGGACCAGCTTTCCAATCAACCACACAGCTAGGACCCAGCTCCATGCAGGGCAGTGGCTGGCTTTCTCTGTGAGTAAGCTCACTTGCACTTGCCCCACACCTGAGATTGGGAGTGGGGGGTACAAACAGATACAACTCCTCCCTCTGCTGGCCTTTATGTTCCTTCTGTTCCTCTACTGGAACACCAAGAGGCTGGCAATGGCAGCAATGGCCTAAGAACTCCATGGCACCTCAGGGTAGGGTGGCCGTACAGTGGCTTGTAGCCTGGGGGTTGAGGAGTTCCTACCTCAACTGTCACTGGGATTCCCTCTAAATCTACAGCACCACTTATTCTCCCTGTGACTGGCTAAGTTCAGCCTATCTAAACTGGTTTCATAATCTGCAACAGTAACAATGCTTTTGGGAGGATTAAGGGGCTCAGGTGGTTCCTATGCTTCCTACAATGTCAGGCAAAAAGTCACTTAATGCACGCTCCAGGCTGTGACTGCTGCTACCACAGAGTACCTAGGTACTGGTTTGACTCAAGCAAACAGACAAGGAACTGGTGGACCAGGATATTCTTGGCCCCTCTGTGGGCTAGAGATGGAGTGGGTGGCCAGCCTGCAGCAGTAGGCACCTAGTTAGCCTGCATCACCTGGCCAGCCTCTAGCACCTGGTCATCCTGCTTTACCTGGCCAGTCTGCATCACCTGGCCAGCCTGCATTACCTGGTCAGCCTGCATCACCTGGTCAGCCTCCAGTACCTGGTCAGCCTGCATCACTTGTTAGCCTGCAATGCCTACCCAACCTGTTTAACCTGGTCAATTTTCAGCACCTGATCAGTTCCATGGCCCAGCTAAAGAGTGCAGAGGGACAGAGCTACTGCCTGTCCCCCAACCCCTGGAGAGAAGGTAGGGACCTGAGGTCCTCAAGGGAGTTCCTGGCCAGACTAGACCTGGATTTCCTAAGAGAGACCTGGGTTACTCATTGTGAAAACTGCTCGAAGTTATTTGTAAGAGTAACAGGAGGGCCCAGAGTACAAGAGCTTTAGGGTCAGACCAACTCTACTAGGACTTGTGGCCTAATGAGGTCAACTCCTTGAGATTCCTCACCCTTACCCGAAGGCAGTGGTAGACTTATTCCAGGCAAACAACCAGCCATGACAATGACCCGCTCCCCCTGTGGGAAGCAAGTATCCATGAGTGCCATGCATTGACTCAGGCTTGGCTTGATGGTCGTAAAGAAAAGCAAACAGGACCAGTAAGAAAACCATAAGCTAAGCCTCTTGCAAAACCAAAAACAAACCAACAAAAAAACACCCTTGTGTGGTTAGCTTGCTGATGGAGACCCACTGGCCAGGCTTGTTTCTACCATCAAGTACCCTCATTTGGGCCACTGGCAAATAGTTTATTTCTCCCAGGTCATTGTCAAAGCCCCCTGGAACTGGAGACCAGAGTGCCCCAAAACAACTCCCTAGTCTTGGAGGCAGCAGAGGGACCCTGGTCTGAAGATGTCCATTCCCACCCCTGCAGGGTGGGGTGCGCACCTGTTGGTGTGAGAGTTGCAGTGCATGAACCAGCTGCGATTGTTGTCCACATACATGGCCCAGGCCTTGTCATCCTTGCCCAGCATCATGTCCTTCACTACACTGGCCCTGGCCACTCCAAAGGCAGGGTCTGGGTGGTTGTCATAGCGGTCCACATGCAGCTCCCAGTAGTGCACTCCCTTGGAGAATGCAGCCGTGCCCAGCACCACTCGGTCATCATAGCTGCTGCAGGTGGCTGTCTGGTTGTCATTAGATAAGATGATGTCCCGGTGGCCAGAGTTTGGGTCAAAAGTAAACCAGGCCACTGGAAAGGTAGGAGTCAGGAAGAGCAGGGTTAGGCAATGTGATTCTCTCTCTCTGTCTCTCTCTGTCTCTCTCTCTCTCTCTCTCTCTCTCTCTCT